GCGGATCTTGTTACTCTTGGGTGTTTGAGCACCCTAGACGGTTGAGGTCACCTCAAAGCCATACTCCATTGTGGTGAAGCTTCGTGGTGTTGTTGGGAGCCTCCAAGTGTTGTGGAGATTGCCCCAACCTTGTTTGTAAAGGTTCGGTCGCCGCCTTCTAGGGCACCAATAGTGGAATCACGGCATCTCGCATTGTGTGAGGGCGTGAGGAGATTACGGTGGCCCTAGTGGCTTCTTGGGGAGCATTGTGCCTCCACACTGCTCTAACAGAGACGTACTTCCCCTTAAAAGGAAGGAACTTCGGTAACACATCCTCGTCTTCACCGGCTCCACTCTTGGTTATTTCGTGCCTTTACTTTTGCAAGCTTACTTGTATTGTATCTATTGCTTGCTCGTGTGCTAGTTGTCATTGCATCATATAGGTTGTCCACGTAGTTGCATATCTAGACAACCTATTTTGTCGCAAGGTTTAAATTGTTAAAGAAAAGCTTAAAAATTGTTAGTTGCCTATTCACCCCCCTCTAGTCAACCATATCGATCCTTTCACTCGGGCAAACCTGCAAGCTTAAATAATCCACAAACTTCATTCACATAGATTAGATGCATATCAGGATGTAATGTTCCATCTCCTGCATAAGGATTAGCCAGCAGTTTCTCTATCATACCCGAAGGAATTTCATAATAAATGTTTTCAGTAGGTTCAGTAGGTTGAGGAGCAACTCTTTTCTCTACCGTTCGAGGTGAAGATACCCCGAACAAGCCCCTCAAAGGATTATTTTCCATAATGACAAGTGACAGTAAGTTTCATCACACTATATAAATGTTTCCTTACCAAATTCCACTCACCAAAGGCGCTTCACTCCCCGGCAACAGCGCCAGTAAAGAGTCTTGATGACCCACAAATATAGGGGATCTATCGTAGTCCTTCTGATTAGTAGGAGTGTCGAACCCAACGAGGAGCAGGCGGAAATGACAAGCGGTTTTCAGCAAGGTATTCTCTGCAAGCATTGAAATCACTGTTCAAGATATCTTCCGATATTCCGATAAATCGACCGATTTATCGCTTACCGGTGTCTGACCGATAAGATAAAACGGTCGATAAATCAGCCGATATGACGATAAATCGGCCGATATGCCGATAAAATGGCCGATATGCCCCTTATCTTGGGTCGACCAATAAGTTCCCGATAAGCGATATCCCCAACATTGATTGAAATTATCGGCAACAGATAGTTTTGTGATAAGATAATTCGTAACGGGTAACAGGTAATAAAAGTAACTAAGGTGCATCAAGGTGTCCCAATCCTTTTTGTAGCAAAGGACAAGCCTGGACGAATTCTTATATAATGCAAAGCGCTCCCGAGGACACATGGGAATTACTGTCAAGTTAGTTTTCATCATGCTCATATGATTCACGTTCGTTACTTTCATAATTTGATATGTGGGTGGACTTGTGCTCGGGTGCTGTCCTTATTTGGACAAGTCTCCCACTTATGATTAACCCCTCTCGCAAGCATCCACAACTACGAGAGAAGAATTAAGATAAATCTAACCATATCTTGAAACATATGGATCCAAATCAGCCCCTTAAATAGCAACACATAAACTAGGTTTAACCTTCTGTCACTCTAGCAACTCAACATCTACTTATTACTACCCAATGCATTCCCCTAGGCCCAAATCAGGGTGAAGTGTCATGTAGTAAACGTTCACATAACACCACTAGAGGAAAGACAACATTCATCTCATCAAAATATCGAACGAATACCAAATTCACATGATTACTTATAACAAGACTTCTCCCATGTCCTCAGAAACAATTGTAACTACTTACAAAGCATATTCATGTTCATAATTAGAGAGTAATAATTATCATTAAGGATCTGAACATATGATCTTCCACTGAATAAACCAACTAGCATCAACTACAAGGAGTAATCAACACTACTAGCAACCCACAAGTACCAATCTGAGGTTTTGAGACAAAGATCGGATACAAGAGATGAACTACGGTTTGAGAGGAGATGGTGCTGGTGAAGATGTTGATGGAGATTGACCCCCTCTCGATGAGAGGATCGTTGGTGATGACGATGACTTTGATTTCCCCCTCCTGGAGGGAAGTTTCCCGGCAGAACAGCTCCGACGGAGCCCTAGATTGCTTCTACCCAGGTTCCGCCTCGAGACGGCGACGCTTCATCCCAAAAGCTTCCTCTTGATTTTTTCCAGGTCAAAACACATCATATAGCATAAGATGGGCACCGGAGGCCTGCCAGGGGGCCCACAAGGCAAGGGGCGCGCCCAGGGGGTAGGACGCGCCCCCACCCTTGTGGCTTCCTGGTGGGGCCCCTCTGGTACTTTCTTCGCCCAATAGTTTTTATTAATTCTAAAATAATTCTCTGTAAAGTTTCAGGACTTTTGGAGTTGTGCAGAATAGGTCTCTCACATTTGCTCCTTTTCCAGTCCAGAATTCCAGCTGCCGACATTCTCCCTCTTCATGTAAACCTTGTAAAATAAGAGAGAAAAGACATAAGCATTGTGCTATAATATGTAATAACAGCTCACAATGCAATAAATATCAATATAAAAGCATGATGCAAAATGGACGTATCAGCACCACCCTCAAAAAGGTAATATGTGGGGTTGTTGATGATGAACTCCTTATTCTTGTGCTTCAAAAGATAATCTCCTCAACAATTAAACACTCTCTCACAGATCTGGCTTTGGGGTAGGAGAGGATTTGTGTGGAAAGCAGGTGACTAAAAATTAACATTCTATGGTAGGAATGGAATCCCTTTAGTCTCAACACAAGGATTTGGAGCTCTCTCTCAGAAAACTGGATATGAAAAGTGTTTGCTTCGCTCTGATTGCTCTCTGAGAGTTTGGTGGAGTGGGTGGGGTATAAATAGGCAGCACCAAAAATCCAACTGTTACTCACCTTTATGCACTACTCGATGTGACCAGATGAAATCACCCGGTGAGACCGATTAATAAAAAATGTTTGAACTTTAGGCATTTTGGTGAGACCGGGTAAAAACGTTTGATGGCTCCAAGATATGATGACCTAAGCACTTTCGACTCTTCGGTGTCACCGACTGAAACCGATCGGAAATTCGAATTGAATTTCAGTAGGCAACAGAAGGTTGGCGTGCTCTTCGGTGGGACCAAATGGCCAACTCGATGAGACTGAAAGTCTAGGGTTTAGGCAACGACTATGTCATATGTAGCTCGGTGAGGCCAGATGGGAATGCTTCAATGAGATCAAGTTGCACTTAGGGTTTGAGACAAAGTGGAATGTGGGAAATTGTTTGATGCTTTTGGAGTTTGATCTCCAAGCACTTGGGTAGTGAGTCCATGATCACAACCTTAACCCATTTTAATAGTATTGGCATACTTATGGACTCAACGGATCTTGGATCACTTAAATATAAAATTAAGTCTTGAGCCTTGGCCAACACTTGTCCTTAGTATGTTGAGGGGTTTCATTTCACATCCCAAAGTTATGCCTAAGTCGAACTCATCCTGAAATATACTAAAGAAAAACATTAATCCAACAACATGTATGTTGCCATGAATTACCAAAATCACGAGGGAGTGGATGTGTTTTCAAAGGTGAATTGATACTTGAGAAGTGTGCTTCCTTCTGACTTGACGCCCAACTGGTGGTCAAATGTCCACTACATGAACTGATGCCCACAACAGGCGTGGGTCTCATACTTTAGTCTATTAAAGATAATTAATAAGGATATCTAGTTAGTTACGAAAGATATTGACTCAGTTAGGAAGATAAAGATATGATTTATTTGAAAATTCGAGATTCTATTCTTAGACATTAAGTCGAATCTTCCATATGAAAGGGACACCATGTACCCCATAAGTATTATGAAACAGATGAGTATAAACTACTCCCTTCGATCCAAAGTAAGTGTCGCAGTTTTGAACTAAGGTTAGTTCAACCTTAGTTCGGAACTGTGACATTTATTATGGATTGGAGGTAGTAAAGATATGCATGTCCCCAACCCCCTCTCTCTCTCATCCTCGGCACCATGACTAAACCAACCTTTGCTCTCGGAGCTATACCCCAAACCATGTCATGTTCATCGGTCGTACCCTACCACGTGACAATAATATCCTTATTTACTTTACAACTACAAATAATGTGGATATGAAAATGGACAATCTGCATCCTGATAACGAATAATGTGGATATGCTCCTGTACTTACCTATTCTCAGATGGAATATAAAAACTTGTTGCGGTGCTATATCTTCTCTTGTTCTTGCCTGTCATCCATCCTTGTTCTGGCACGTCCTCTGGTTTTTGGCGGATCGGTTGGTATACTAAAAAAAATGCACACAAGGAATTCTTACAACATTTGGGGCCGGGATGCACTACATAAGAATTTTCAAACATTGTATCCAGAATTTGTTAAAAATTCAAAGAACTGCTTTGGCTTCACATCACAGAACTTTCTAACAACTTGTCCGGTCTTATAGTTAATTAACTGAAGAACGTTGGTAACTATGAATTAATTGCTATATATGTTAGCTGAGCTCATAGAGCTGGCTGTGTGTTTTAGTTCTATTGGTCATGGTTACTTGTTTGCTTTCTATAAAAAGCACGGCAGAAATGCCATTTCTCTACAAACTTAAAATCACAGAGGAGAAAGAGAGTAAATATGCGCATCCAAGATTAAATCTGCGTCTCGCAAGCAGGGTTTCACGTTGTTCGGAAATTACTTAAGTTTCGAAACTTACTATTACATGCTTGACCAACACAATAAACATCACCAGCAAAACATTAAACAGCAAGGGACCAATCACTGACACCGACATAAACATAAACGCACGGAGAGCAACCTGCCAGTCTGGGTAGCTAGCGTGCTGCCGCCTTATTGAACAACGACGTACATGCGCGCGCACACACACACACAAAGTAACCTTCTAGCTAGTCTTGGTAGCTAGTGAACCGAATCATATGTAGATCATACATATGATGGGTCAATCAGATCTTGAGATAAGCACCAATGGCGCTGAGGTAGTCATCGGCTTGGGCGCAGAAGGCGACGATAGAACCATTCATGAGGGGGATGCGGAAATGGGTGTCCACGCCGGCTTTTGGCCTCACTTTTCCGAACGGGCCATGGTGCTTCTGGGCGTCGGTGGTGCGAAAGGTGAGCGAGGTGATGTATCCACCGTAGGAGTAGCCAGACAGCTCGGTGATACGCACGTTTGTCAAGTGAATAGTCTGCACGAACACATAATCAAGAGAAATAACTAACGGTTAAACATGTATCAAGAGATTGTCCATTTACCCAGAGTTAGTTATCACCAAGAAGAGATATGTAATAATCCAACTTGCTAATATGCACACTATATATTTTGACGTGGAGGGGGTACCTTGCTCTTCTGGCCAGGAAGCGGGGTGCCCCATGGACCTGCTTTGTTCATATTGTTTTTGCTGTCGACGAAGGTGAAGGATATGGCGTTGATGATCCCTTCGTGGCCCGACGTGCTCCAAATCTCCAAGCTCCTAAGGCTTGACGGCGCAGAATTTGTCAATTCGGTGATGTCGTAGACATCACCATTTGACCCACCAAACATACCAACCTTCACCCCATATGTCGACATTGGCCGCTTGTTTTGAGTGAGATCGGTCGCTAGTTGGGAGGGTTTGTGCCCTAGTAGTAGTTCTTGGATGAGAAGGCTATGGCTGCTTGCTTGTTTTCTGCTCCGGAACCAAGATGCCGGGCGTTATTTATAGATAGCATTCAATAGGCCGGGTTGTTCAAGTCAAGTCAAGTCAATGCCTTATCATGGCGTACCTACGTACTGTACCCATATGCAACCACTAGCTGCATGTCATTGATTCATACACGAAATTTCCACTCCAATTCCTTCTTCCAGAGGTTCGTTCGTGGTGCATCACTTCTAGTACTATGGACCCCTTTTTGCATTAATCCGTCAGTGCCCCTATTTTCACTGCAATTTCTAGGCTTAGCTCTTCCAAGACACTAAACCAGCAGATCTTAAGATTGACGAAGTTGCCAGGAATCTCATAGTTGACGGGCATGTTATATCACTGAAAGAATAGCGTCGGAGAACCTGAAACAAAATTCAACATATGCGAGCATTCGTGTCAAATCTAAAACTTGAAGCCAGTTGGGTTTCAAGCAAGAAACCTAACCATCTAAGCAATGCACCGAAGATGACATTTTTGGACCACCCATTGTAACCAGTTATCGCGAAACCGACTCCTGGATACTCCATCTGAGCCGGTTACAAAAAGAGTGTGGCCAAAAGAAATAAGTGACCGAAAATTTTAGTCAGTTGAAAATTCCAACCAACTAGGAAAATATGGCGGCCAGTTCATACATTGAGCCGGCTGAAAATTGTCACATTGTCCCACTAAGTTTTTTAATTATGAAGGAGTAGGCTGGTTTAATTTGTTAACCGCCCCTGGGATTTGGCTTACCATTCCCTTAGTTAACGAACTAATATTTCTGATCAGCATAAATATGCATAGTTTACTATTAGTAGCAACTTGCTACAGTAAGTTAGGGCATCTCCAACATGGATAATCAAACGGACGCTATCAAATACCGGTGGATACGATTCAAATTTGTTCGTGGACAGCTGGTCGGGCAGACGCCATTCAACCGTGTCCCCCAATTTTTCCTTACTTGTTCAACCTCCTCTTTGACAAATTTATGTAGATCAGTAGAATTCGATTTTTACATTTAAATAGTTGCAAACAAATGCAACTACTGGCAAAAGCAACGGATGTTCAACAAGGTTTTTACATCCATCGACCGCAAAAGCGAAAGCACAACTGTCCGTGCCTGATGCTTCAGCCTTTGACCTCATTTTCACCCCTCCCTCCTTTTGCACAAAGCGACATGCTAGCACGGAAGTCATGATAAAAATTCACCACATCGGGATCCAAGTCGTCCGGCTTGACATATAATATATTTTGTTCCTCATAAGTTTCTTTGATCATAAGCTTCCTCTCCTCGAGCTTAGTCTTCTTATTTTACATTCCCATGAAGACGCCAAACTTCTCCAGTTTTTTTCCTCCTTGATGGCATTGCGCTTGGCACATGCCTCCTCCTTCTTTGCCACGATGTCCTCGAACTTCTCTGTCATATTGGCCGCCACCCTTCTCGCTTCTAGTTCTTTGTTTCCCATTCCCCCCCCCCCTGACCTAGCCAGACGGGTGGCCTGTGCAAGTGCTCCAATCAACGGATCACCCCCTTCACCACTTGCTTTGGCGTGGCGGTCTTTGACGGGCATGGGCAATGGTGCTCCACTTGCTTTGTGCATTCAACTCGAACCAACAATGCATCATCATGAATGCCTTGTCCTTAGTCTTGTTGTACAAGGTGGTGGCGCGGCTATGCTAGCAACATGAAGCAACATAGAGCAAATCAAACAAATGGCCAACATATAGGGTAACAAGAAGCAACATAGAGAAAAACAACTTACGAGCTCGAGGAGTGACACGCCACTAGGCCACCGGTTTTCTATTTGTGCATACACACCACAATGTTTGTTTATGACCTCTTGGGTGGTGTATCCTCCTTGAAGTAGGGTTCATAGTCCTTTTGCTCGTTGAAAAAAAATCATGAACACTTTGCCAAACCGACGATCACTTTTGCTTTGTGCCTCGGAATGGGTGAAGGCTTGAGGCCAACCATGCCGAACACAACAATTCATCATCTTTGTTCGAGTATGACAAACCCCTCTACTTTTTTGCATCCGCATCAGGCATGACCTTCCACTGGGTATCTGTCACGACCATCTCTTGCTCCGTCCGCATCTCATAGTGGCCATCGACTTGACCATCTTCATGCCACCGCCTTTGAGCTTGGGGAGGCATTCCATTGAACGGTGTGCGGGCACTGTTGAGGCCTCCCCAGACAGAAACTGCGACCGGATGAACGTCGGTGAGTCTGTGAACACGTAGTTGTTGTTGAGGTCGACAATGTACGATGGAGGATGTCTGGAGGCGTGGGTGAAGGATGATGCGGAGTGTTGCGGTGATTACAAGCTGGACTTACCGTACTATTTGGCAACAAAGTAATATGGTGCCTTGTACTGGGCGGGCCAGGCGATTGCCTGAGCGGCACTGGCATGATGAGCAACTGTGAAGGGGGAGCTCGGGCCTGAGCTACTATGCCTGCAGCCGCCACCTTCTCGGCAGGACTCCCTGTCACGTGTCGAGCTTGCCATTTGACAGTGTTCGGATTCTCCGGCGAGGCGTCTGGCAGGACGATATGAACGTCGTCATGGGCTCCAAAGGATCCATTGCAGTGGCTGCGGGCAGTGGAAGGAGTCAAAACAGGCGAGCGATCGGGTCAAAGAAGGCGGGGTTTTGCATCGGAATAGTGAAGGGAATGTCCAAATGCGTGGGCACCGACTGGATTTTTGGGTGGGTTTGGGGTGTCGGAGGGCGACGTGATGGACGGCCAGACTCCCTAGAGCTCCCTAGATTTTGGGCGGTCTGCGGGATTTCGAACATCTGGACTGGTCGGGCTCGATTTGATGATCTGTATTGAATGGCTAAAACTGTTCGGATGGTCCGATGCAAACATTTGAGGGTGTTTTGGTGATCCGTGTTGGAGATGCCCATGACCATAGTGAGAGTAACTTGGCTAGCAACATAACGCACCACACAACAAATTTGTTTATGTGGCAAGTAGTTAATAAGGAGAAAGATGTTTGTGGTAACATAACACACGCGAGCCAAAATGAATCTACATCTAAATAAATGAAACTTGCATGATACCACACATTTGGTACTACCAATTATGTCTTTAGTAATATAGACTAGTCCCTAAAAAAAGTAATATAGACTAGTAGCATTTTCGATAAAGGGCGATTTTATTAACTCAAAATGTAGCATCAAGTGGATACAAAGCATTATGAGCAACACCCGGCCTCTGCATAAGTAGGATGCACACAGCCGAACACCAAAAGTCTGACAACCAGAAGTAAACAAAAACCGACAAATCGACAATAGTAGAGTCCTATAGACTAGTAGCATATGCATGTTATTTGTCTAAGTTACTCCCACTATGACCAGCCTTTTAATCGGCAATTGAATGTGCATTCATGAGATCAAGTTGCCACGGTTAATCAATTAATCTGCCTCGCTACAAATGATATCGAAGACGGTGTGAACGGCATAGACGGACGTGGATTCTATTGATCGGTAGTGCACCAACTTTCCACCGTTAATCAATGTGCAATGAGTATGCACGACAGAGTAGGAGTTTATTAGAGTACTACAAGGTTTGTCGGCCGAAGACCACCATTAATCCATCGTCACCCTAGCCAGCTCCACCTCCTGTGTCCGCAAGGCACCATTTTCCTTTTCACAGCTAAAGAATTTTAAAAATAATCGAAGATGTACATGGTCCTACTCTAAACACTAGCACATGTTAGCTTTCAAATTGGTTCATGGAGTCCATCATCAAAAATGATTTCAGTCGACACAAATAAGCTCAGTCAGTTAGTTATTAAAAGATAGCCACCTGTCATTGAGTCGGTTGTAAGTTGTAACTACGAAATTTGCTCGGATAAGTGTTTTATTTGCGGCCGCTTGCCTAAGAGGAGCTCATTGCATACTTAAATGAGGCGATTCACGTCTAAAAATCATCACCACCACCGTGCACGACAAGGCAACGATGGTGGCATCAAACCTTTCCCCTTCAAACATGGGGAGGAGGGTTGTGCATGGCCACACCCACCACCACACACGGGAAGGGCGAGAGTGGTGGCACATGTCATTTAGTAAGGCTACCCACTCCGAGAGAGATACGGTACGAGACACCTAAACCTCATCACCGGAGTAAGTGCCTTAGAACTCTCGAGTCCTATGCTCCACTGTGTTACTTTAGGGGTTCCGTGGTAGTAAGAGATTGGTTCCTCATAACTGCAAGATCGCCTGATTGTATTGTATCCCTTGAAGATCGGTACCAAACTACCAACCTCAGACTGACTATAAGGGTAATACCTCCTATTTTCAAAGGCAAAAGATACTCAGGAGCTTATTCCCGTACCCGTTCAGTGGATAGAAACACAACTATAATAGTAAGTTCAACAATAATGATAGGTAGGAGGGACTATGCTTACTAACCATCAGGGGGCCTGAACCTGGGTAAAATGACCGTGTCACCATCGTCAACGAGAACTACTCGGGCTTCACCCATCTCTCTACATCCTTCGATAACAAACTTCAGACCATAAGATTGACATACCATTATTCATTGACATTTCGCCCAACTTGGGGTCCAAGCCTCAACAACAATCCTGCTAATGGACCACATAAATGTTGGGGAAAGGGGAAGGCAAGGGTCTATCCCCCACCGTAACCCCAAGGAGGGCCTACATCAATCTTACTCCTTGGAGCGAAAGTCTTTCAGTGCCGGCTTGGATCCTCCCAGATCGCCTCGATAATGTGGGACGATTCCATGGTCCAAAATATGGGCTTCGGGCACACAACCCGAGGTCATCTTGACCAGGGGAGGGGGATCTTCTGGTGTTGGGGTACCCTCATCGATTCGGCCTATTTGGTTACTTGGGCTCGAGCCCCGACAGAGGATAAGGCTACATGCCAGATCCCCTCA